TAATAATAATAATAATAATAATAATAATAATAATAATAATGAAGAAGAAGAAAGAAATAGAGAAGAAGAAGAAGAAGATGAGAACTTTGAGATGAAATATTAATGTAAGGATTAAACAATGATAATAACAAATGTCAAGGTTAGAGGTTCCACTAATGGTATGTCAAACAAGTATAATATAAACTCTTATTGCTCAATTGGAAACCACACACAAAGGAGGTTCCAATCAGATTATAGATTGTTAACATGATTACATTAGTCATCTTATTCAATTAATGCTAATACTTGTAAATTTCATCAAGCATTCATGATTATAACTTATGTTAACAACAAATCAAGTTCCTTTCATAGCTCAGGTGTCGGTTATACCATACAATATGGGCTATGAAAGTGTCAAGCATTTGTTGTACCAAGTGTTATACAACATAAATCAAGATTAATCATTTAACAAGCAAAGTATTAAAGAATGAACAAGATAACAAATACAAAACATGTTAGTATCAAACATTAAAGTCCATATTAAGTTTACACTATGCTTATTCTTACACCATTAGTGTACCCTTTTCACCTTGACATGATAAAATTAGCTAGACATAATAAAAGAAAGAAAAATAAATAAACAAAATAAGAATATAAATAAGATAAGAGTTAACAAAGGAAAGGAAAGGAAAGGAAAGGTATAAAGTTGATATAAATGAAAGCAAAGCATAAGCAATACAAAAAATACAAAGAGAGAAAGGAAGAGCATGATCTTGATCTGGAAACCAAGATGCCTAAATGCATGGCAAATGCCTCATTTTATAGGCCAAAATTGGGAACTATTGATTTGATGACTAATTGATGAGTGGGTGGCCAACTCTTGACTTGGTGACAATCCTTATCTTCTCTTGTCTGCCCAAAACGTCATTGATAACGTAAAAAATGGAGCCACTTGAAAATATAAAAGTTGTAGAAAATTGTCTCAGCTTTCTTGTGTAAAACATTCAGCTCATTTCGAGTTCTAGAACTCCAGATATGGCCAAAATACTGAACAGTGCTCGGGCTGGAGGACAGCTTCGGGCTTCTTTGTTGTTGCAATAATTTGGACTTGAAAATGGCCTTTTTAGATCTTGGGCTCCATATGAAAGTTGTAGGTCTCTGTCTTACCTTTCCATCCATATAAAGTAGACCTAAATCTGAGATCTATAGCTCTAGATATGACCCAATTACCGAACAGTGTTCCGATTTGGATTGTACCGACATCTCTTTTCTAATTTTGGTCATCTCTTTGCCCTTGCAATTTAAGTTCTTAAAGTCATCAATCAATCCTTTCATTTATATGATAGGCCTGCATTTAAAATAAACATTTACCACAAATTAAAGGTATCTTATATTATTAGATATATTATTATAAAACATGTTTTAGTTAAGGAGTTATTGATACTTCAAGTGCAAAATGATGATATAAAACCATGATAAAAATGCACTTTTAAGTACTAATCACACCCCCTAACCAGCTTATTACTAGTCCCTAGTAATCAAAGCGTTAAAATAGAAAAACAATTTGCAAATTCCACAAAGCAAGGTATTCATCATTTAACTTCCATTAATCTATCCAGATAAACAAACTCTCGTTAAATTTATATACCTGCTCAATACCTCTTAACAAGATATTCATAAACCTTTCTTTTGTGCTCAATGTATCAACACATAATTATAGGGCTTTTCTTGGAAGAAAACAAAATTTTTGTTCTAATGTTTAAGGTTAACTTCCTTGGGTTGGGATTATTATTTTTGTTTTTTTCTTTTTTTTTTTTTTAAATATATATACATATAATTTAAAAACACCATGCATCTTTAACCCATGTAACGAGCTTTCGGCTAATGACTCCCAGACCAGTTGGTCTTAGGGCATTAGGTGTTAAGACACCCCTATGAGCTTAGTAACTCGGGTCGCAGATACTGATATGTAGATAGTGCAATGTTTGATTTCCTTAAGCTTTTCTCCTCAACCCATGTAACAAGTGTTGGGCCAATAGCTCCCAAGTCAGTTGACTTTAGGGTATTAGGTGTTAAAACACCCCTTCGGGCTTACTTGCTTAGGTTAGGGAAGCTACAAAACCAAACTTATCTATATTTTTATTATTATCATTTTTTTTAATTATATACAATCCCTTTCCCTTAGTTGTTACCTTTAACAAAAGAACATAAATAATGTAGTAATCCAATATGCAACCCACAATCATATGTTAAAGTGTGTGTGTGAAAATTAAGGTTTAAGAATACATGTTACATATGTATATGAGCAGAATTAAGTGATAACAATGTGAGAGTTTGTAAATCTGAATATTTCAAGAAGTATTATAATAGACCTTGTTAAGAATGGTTACTAAGATGCGTCTCATGAGTCACTTTAACAAAAGAGCTCCTTTACTCTGCCATCCCAGTAACAACAATTATGCACATGCTTTATGAAATGAAAAACAATTTTTTTTTATCAACTACTACCCTCTCCCCCCAACCAAAACGAGA